CAAGAAGTATCTTCTATTCTTTTTGCTGCTCCAGGCTGGCCTGTTTGTCCTTTCAAGTGGAAAATTCCCATCTCTGAAGATTCTGTATGCTGTTCAGGATTCCACCTATGGTCTTTTGTAATGCATAGGCTCTGCAGGGAGCCTCTTTCACTGGGCATGTTGTAGCCCCATTTTAGGTATTCCAATCATAAACTGTTACTTTTATTTGTTGTTGTTTTTGTGCCGTGGAGTTGGTTCCGACTCATAGCGACCCTCCACAGGGTTTCCGAGGCTGTAAATCTTTACGGGAGCAGACGGCCTCATCTTTCTTCCGCGGAACCGCTGGTAGTTTCGAACTGCTGACCTTGCTGCTCACATCCCAATTCATAACCACTAGTTAAAGATAATTAAATATTGAGAATTTCAAATGGTTCACCCTATGAAAATATGATTTTGAGAAAATATTATTTGAAAATCCAAGTTTGAACAGCAAAAATCAGATAATTATGCTCTGATGATATATAATCATCATTCTCCCCTACTATGAGGAGTGAGTTTCAGCCTCAAGTTCTACCCTTCATGATAACAGGAAATTTGAGGGAGAAATAAAAATAAAACTAAATTACTGAGACTAGAAATTATATCAGGGTATTTCAAAACATTATTTTACTGTGACTATAAAAATTCAAATAAGAAATGAATACAATTATTGTAAGGTTTCCTTGAGGAAATGATGTGATTAGCATTAACATGATTATATTTTATCAGGAAGAAATAATGTTAAAATGTGCATATTTCTGATCTAATTTTTTTCAAAGTTTTCTTTCTGTTTTGAAGAACTGTTTGAAAGAAGGGACAAACAATAATGACTTAATATTATATCATTCCTTTATATGCTTCTATAAAATTTATGGTTTTATAAAAGCATTTCATATAACTTTATTTCATTTTGTCCTAATTAATAGCCTGTATACTTCTAAATTTCTAATGCATTTTCCTCAGACTAAAGAACTGTTAAATTTCATGACCAGGGGAAATGACTGGGCTCAAACTATTGGTATGTTTTAATTACTTTCCTCTCCCAAATAAGCATGCATCCTAGGAAATAATCATAAAGTCGGCTAACATCAGAGCTGAACAAGCTGTAAGATATATGGAGTCAGTGTGTGTACAAGATGAGGCATCTGTTCTATACACAGATAAGAGTGATGACATTAAACCACTCTGCATTGTTGCTATAATCTTAGAAAGCACCAACCTGTAATCTGGAACAGACAAAAATCTTCTATATGCCTTTACAAATACTACCAGAAACCAGTGTCCATCAAATCCAACTCATGACAACTCTATAAGTAGAATAAAACTATGTTATATAAGGTTTTCAATGACTAATTTTTTTGTAATTAGATCACCAGATCTTTCTTCTGAGGTGCTTCTGGGCTAACGCAAACCTCCAAACTTTAAGCACTTAACCTTTGTACCCACCCAGGGAATGACAGAGAAAGAATCAAAAGAAGATAGGAGGAAAACACAGAGTCAATGTACCAAAAAGAATTGGTCAATGTTCAGACATTTCAGGAAATAGCATATGACCAAGAACTGATGGTATAGAAGGAAGAAGTCCAAGCTGCATTGAAGACCTGGAAGGAAAACAAGGCTTCAGGAATCAGTTGAGAAGCAAACAATTGCAATGCTCGGAAGGCTTACTGCTCTGTGCCAAGAAATTTTGAAGACAGTTACCTGGCCAACCAACTGGTAGAAATCCATATTTGTGATCCTTTTAAAGAAATTTGATCCAATGAAATGCAGAAATTATCAAACAATATAATTAATACCAAACAAAAGTAAAATGATTTCAAGAGTGCATCAACAAGGAA